GCCGTTTGCCTAACCACAGTTAAAATGACCCGTGTAATTAGGAGATGAGACGAGACGCGGCGTCAATGGCTGGTTACTTCATGCATATCGGGTCTCAGTAGTACAAAGAGGCTTCTTCTAGCCGCTATTATGATCGGCCGCCCAGACAACGGCGCAGCCAGTCAGCCAGTGGCGACCAGACGGCTGGGTTCGGCTCCTGGCACAGCCGAATCGTGTTGACCTTCGCGGCAGAGTACCTAGCCCACAGCGCGACCGCGGACACGTTCCCCAGAGAAAGAAGGAACGAAAGTTATAAAGAAATGAGCAGGTCACGTTTCTGTATGTTCAGTAGGCGCAAAGATAGAACTTCACATTACTGACGAAGTGGTCGGGGGCTCACTCCCTATAGACCATTCCATCTAGCGCTCTCTGGGCGGCACCATTTTGTTCGACAGCAGAGCCCTCTCCATACATCCGGGAAATTCAGCAGGTTCGGCAGGGTAAAACGAGAGAGAGGGCACGCGCCCGACTCCGCTAGCAGACGACAAACCGGGTGGTTGCCATTCTCCATCTTTGGGCTGTACCGGCGGGCTGTACGGAACATCGGACTCTCGCTCGTGGCTGCCGTTGTGAAGTGGTTCGCGTTCTTAGAATAGTTATGGCTACTCCGAAATCAGCCGAGAGATCTCTGTTGTTCTACTTCGGTAAATGATCAACTGACATATTTTTTTTTCGTTACTTAAACCGCAGTTAAGTCAGCCGGCAGTACTACCCTCAACTACTGCGTGTATTGCGGCAGGACAGCACGTTTTTATTTATTATTTCAGACATCCACTCGTGGGTCGCTAAAGGCCTACTCCAGTATGAACTCTGTATAGTAAAAAAGGTACAGCCACCGGATTTACTTTTCGCCGGAGAGACCGGCCAGTCTGACACAATTTTCCCTATTCTTTTTTTATTTGCACGCAGATAACAGCGCAATTGGACTCTGTTAGTCTTTTTATTTAGCATAGTAATACACGATAACTGGGATACCAAAATCTGCGCATCTGCGCTTGGAACTTCCAAAATAACTCGATTTTAAACAGAGTTTGTACGCCAGCCGGATGCTAGGTACTGCGGTACTGCCCACTTGGCGGAGCAGACGACATACGGGTGAGAGGGCGAGGGCAATTTTTTATCTCTATTACCCTCTCTGCTATGACCCTAATGGAACGGTCTATACACCAACTCATGTTTACAAACAAACCGGAGCGCCCGGAGCGCCCCTAGCGGACGCCACCGGCGCCGCGCATGCGCGATGGGGGTGTGGGCAAGAAGCTCGCCGTCGCCCATAAACAAACCATTGGAATGCGGTGTTGTCGGCGTCGGTGTGAGTCCCCGCGCTCCTTTTCGCGTTCGAATTGTTGATTCTACGTCCTCCTAACGATGTCTGACCACTTGAGCGGCGTCAGCGAAATTAACGAGGCTCGTTACACCGCAAAACTTCGCGTGAATAATCTGACATGCGGCGATTCATTCTGCTTGGACACCGCAGAATGTACGCTAAAGCCTGATTCACATGATGAGATTTCGCTCGCAATTTTTAGTAGCAACGTCGCTCGGACTGCAAAAGAGTGAACCGTAGCTGAGATGGTCGACGACGATACTGAAAATCGCAAGCAGAATATAACCAAATGAATCGGGCATAACAAGTCGGTGATGGCCGCTGGTAACAATGATCAACATCTCCTTGTATCTACTGTTTACGTCGAGCCTGCTTAACAACCTTCAAACTCAAGTCTTTTGAGGCCTGCACTTACTTCTTATCGCAAGTAAGCAAGTAACGGGCCCATGTTTGGTCTATGGGCCGGTGTCCTCTAAAAGAGCAGACGACAAGCAGAAACGTTTGAAAGAGCAGACGACAGTTCGAACGATCAGGCGACCGTTTGAACTTGAAGACGCACTGAACGTAGTCCGCAGGTGATCCGTACAACTTGACGGTTTTCCGGCGTTCATTTTGGAACAAAACAAATAAATCTGATGGCCAGAAGTATCCGTGAATTCACCCAAAATGCTTCCCGCCCAAGCAATTGTGGTCCGACGGCGTCGGGTTTTCCCTTTTCACGGCACATATCCACGTTCTCGGACGAACCGAGCGCATGAAAACTGACCTTCAAACCTTTCTCAGCCCTTTTCGTACAGCCCCAGTCGCAGCATTTTAACAAGAAGGCAGGTTTTTGTCTGGTTCCTTTCAAAACAACGTAGGAATGCACGTCTCAAATGGGCACTTCCGCCCACAGCCCCGGACCGGAAGTGCGTCCGACGCGCCACCACCGCGCCGTGACGTAACAGAGATGAGTTCGTGTATACTCTGTCGGGTTCCTGCAAAATCCTCCACTGTCCATCAGTCAGTGCCGCAAAAAATGTCCCTCCGAGTGCTACATTGGGGCGGAGAATGAGCGTTCGGTGATGTGTAGTTAGATTTGGCGGCGAAAGAAACCTTGTAAATATTTTCGGTCACCTTCAACATCGCAATCACTCACTACATTGTTACATTATATATACTTGTAAGAAGCACAGTACTGAGGAAATTTAGCTCCGTTCTGTGAACAACACGACTGTCGTTGCTCGGTACAAAAACACAAGCCTCACATGGTGGGAAGCATAAACCTGACACAACCCACCCGGTTCTGAAGAAGCCGCTCAAGGTGCTCCGCCACGAAACTGCTGCGCAGATATGCAGCGACGCAATCAGACTTCCTGAAACGAAATGTGCACTTACGGTACTTGCACGACAACCAGCTGAATCCTCCAGACTTCTAGTGTGCACCTTATGCACGCCCGCCTGCGTGCATAAAGACAACTTATGCGCCAAACGCTTGTCAACTGCTCGTTACGTCAGTTAGGTTCTGGTATAGCGGTCTAGACGGCCCTTTTTAGGGTCCCCATATTTTGCAAGCGAAGCTGCTTTCTGAATGCAGCCACTCCGTGTCTCCGTAAAAAAGTTCACAGGAAAGACCCAGCAAGGTGGTCCCCAACTAGGATAACGCACGTTATGATTCAAATAAAAATTTATCTTGCTTCTTTCGCGCCTTTGATCCAAATAAATGCCCCCGTTGCAATCGTCCCGCTGTGCTCTTGCTTGCTCAATTGCCGTCGGCGTGTCTCTGCTTCCTCGTCTTTGCCAACGGCGCACCGGTGAAGGCGGTCGATCTGACACACAGGCTTTGGCTAGCAGACGGCGGAGGGATCGGTGGCCGAGTCAAAGAAACAAAAAAAGCATCGGTGGCCGAGTGGGCTATACTCTGTTTCACCTTATGATGTACCGCAGTAAAGGCTACAAGCGCGAGCTCCTTGCTGTGGGGCACATCTCGGCGGCACAAGCTCTCGTGACTTAAGAGCGGCTGCCAACGCTATGAGCTCGCGCTTCTAGCCTTCGCTGCGGTACAACATAAGGTGAAACGAAGTATAGCACTCACCAGCTCGGACCACGTGGAGCGAAAGCTCGCGTTTCGATCTGAATGAGCATCGTACCGGCGTGCGGTCATGTATCACTACGGCGTGATGCACGTTAAAGACCCCAGGCTAGCGGTTGTACTGCACTGGCTAAATTTCTTATCTACAGCTGGGAGATTCGTCGCTCGTTGAGGCAGACTAAGTTTTGGACTGTATAAACGCACACACAACCCAATTTTTTTTTCTAGCAGACGGCGTCCGTAAAATGGCTTCGCTGTTGCTGGCTTTACGCGGCGGTACCGTGCGTGCTTCCACTCATTCGGCGTTCCTTGCCATGGTGATGGCAATGAAAGCAGACAGACTTTATGCTGCGGAAGAACGCTGTGGCGTAGCGATACGAGGTGCGTGCTGAGGCCCTTCCAGCATGCTTTTCAATGGGCGGAACTCGAACAAATATAGCACGAAATAAGGACTCAACGGAGAAGGCTGACGTTTCTCCAGTGCCTCATAATTTGATGAGCCTTACACGAAACACGTGTTTTTTTTTGGCTATCCTGCGACCTTTTTCTTATCCGTAACATGGGTCTAGAGCAGGGGTTCTCAACCACTGATGTTTCGCGGAGCCCTTGTTGATCGGCGGAGATGATGGAAGACCCCGTTCGTGGTGAGGGGAAGGGAAAGGCATCGGTTAATTATGACAATGATTTAATAAATTAATACGACTAAGGGCAAGTGTGAAGTAGACCTTTCTTATCTAAATACACACGAGACAACACCCAAAAATTGGAACGTTTCATTTCAATCTTGAAGAAATACAACTTTTATTGCTTGGGCTTGACTGATGAGGCAGGGCTTCGCGGACCCTTAGAATGCCTTCGCGGACCCCAAAGGGTCCGAGGACCTTCATTTGAGAACCACTGGTCTAGAGTATCATACTGCCGCCGCCGGGAAACACATTTGTGAATTGTAGAAAGCTTTAAACAGTTCGCGACAAAAAAACAAAAACAAAAACACAAAAAAAAAACACACACACACAAAAAAAACGAAAAGACACAATATTGTTCAAGTTTGCTGGCACCTTATCAAGAGCTAAGGAAGCCTAATTTTCCAATGGCAACGCCAATACATCTTTTTTCTGAAGTGCGCGCCATCTTGTAGCTGCTGCGCCATTCATCCTGCTTCGGCATTTTGCTCACGTATTGGACGTGAGGGCTGTTTCGGCGTTCGGCGACGACTCGGATCCAATCACATATCTTCGTGCCAGGATGTATGGATGCATGGATGTTAGTGGCCTTTGTAACAGGCGGTAGCTTGCCCCACCTAGCCTAGGTCTAAAATGACCAACGTAAAATACCGGGAAATGGCGACCATTACTGTTGCTCGACCGACATCTGAAACGGCCGCCTACACCGCCCGCTCTGCACTAAGCAGTGTAATGGCGGCGCCTACAAGATAATAGAAGATTAAATGCCGCGGTTCTTAGCTAAGCTCATTTAGTGGTTCAAGTGTTTTTAACACTGAAACCGGGTAGCTTGGTTTCGGTGTTGACTTTTGCACCGTCTCGACTGCCATGAGACAACATATTCGAAGAAATGGGTTTTATTTACACACTATCTGAAAGCCGGAATGAGTTGGCGATACATTTTCACAAGAACTCGTGGACGCACACGCCGATTGTTGGATTGTATACAGTGCCTTGAAAGCATTTTTTCACGTCGGTCTTGAAGACGCCGTTTTCTCCGATGCAGGCGTAAAACTTGCGGGGATCGCGCGGATGTGCAAACCAACCGGTTTCGGTGCACGGTAGATCCTCAGTGCTTGATCTGAAACGAAGATTAGAAACAAAAAGCGATTAACAGGGACAGCAACATCAAAAGAACCGGCGGACGACAGGTGTGTGTTTGTGTGTGGATGGATGTGTGCGCCTGTGTGTGTGTGTTTATGCTCATGTGTGTGTGTGCGGGTACGAGGGAAGGGGAGGAGATTCGCTCGATGTCATATTTCTATCGACTGATTACCGTATGTTTTTTCGCATCAAGACAAACAATTATGTTTACACCTTTCACCACTGGCTGAGACGCACGGGGATATTTTAGAGCGCAGCTCTTAGGGGCCCGTTCCCGGCTTGAGCGGCGTCGCCGTCGCCGTCGCCGTCGGCGTCGCCGTCGGCGTAACCAAGGTCATCCCAAGGTCACGTGACCCCCAAGGTCACGTGACCCCTCCAGGTCACGTGACCCCTCCCAAGGTCATCTCAAGGTCACGTGACCCCTCGAGGTCACGTGACCCCTCCCAAGGTCATCTCAAGGTCACGTGACCCCAAGACCCCACGTGACCCTTTGAAGGTCACGTGACCCCCAAGTCACGTGACCCCTCTGAGGTCACGTGACCCCCGAGGTCACGTGCTCTCCTCCCCAAGGTCACGTGACCCCTCCCAAGGTCATCTCAAGGTCACGTGACCCCAAGGTGACCCCCACGTGACCCCCCGAGGTCACGTGACCCCCCTCCCCGAAGTCACGTGACACCCCCCCCCCCCCCGAGGTCACGTGACCGCCCCCCCGGAGCATATTAAAGAATGAGGGGAGGAGGAGGGGTCTACCCTCCCCTCAGTACCCTTCACTCCTCCTCCTCAAGAGCTGCGCTCCAATTCGGCGTTACAGGGATTTGTAAACGGCTTTCACTTTTTTTGTACTTTTCGATTGCCTTGCACGGCATTCACCGTACTTTGTCTGTGGCACGGTGTAACTGTGTAAGACATACATACCTTACATTGTGGAGTGTGGTAATCGGTCCTAATACCGTAAATTTTATCCTCTAATACAGTTAAAACCACCCACCGCTTGCTGCCGTTCTTATGTGGAAAAAATCCATGTGTGCAAAGATTCATGTCACAAATCGAAGGAACGACGAACGTGAGTGCTGGTATTTTGTAAGTCTAGGACACGCGAATGGGCGCTGTATTCGGAAAACGTTGCAACGCAAAAAAGTATTTCTATTATGTCTCACTTAACCTGTGAATGGCAGAATCACATGGATACGGCATGACAGCTTGGGTATCTCTACTGTGGCCCTTATAGCTTAAGAAACCCAAAGAATGGCAAGCACCGAGCCTCTTTTTATTGTTCCTCATTCAATAAGAATGCGGAGTCAGGCGATAATAAAAGAAAAGAACGAAGGACAAGCAAGAAGCCACGCATCGCATTTCTTAATGGCCGACCACCTAGCAGAAAGGAGCAAATGCTCACTTAATTCCTCCCTTCCATTTGAGAAAGAGGGGGACACTCCTCCCTTCTGTGGTGAGCAGTTCAGAGACCCGCTCCTGCGTGCAGAGGAGGAGAGAAAAAAAGTGGGGGAGGGAACGGAGAGAAGGAAACTAGGAACTGGTTTTCTGCCCGTCAGAAGACAGTTCCGTTTCCCCTGGCAAATAGCGAGCGCTCGGCGCGCGCTCGCCGAGCGGATTCTTGTTTCCCTCGCGAGATGAGAGCAATTAGAGCCACTAAATGAGCTGCGCTTAGAGTATCGGCACTCTGTTCCCCAACATTGTTGTGGGCGCCGCCATTTTGGCTCGTATGCAGAGCAGACGCAACTGCCGGTCGCCGTGATTTAAAAGTGCGACTTCCTCAGCACTAGATTCGCTGTTAGGAAGCTCGTGTAATGTCGATTTGCTCTGTCGCGAACTGTTTAAACATTTGTAGAGGACAGAAAAGCGTTTCCTGGGATTTCAGATATAGCGGCAGATAACTGGCAACCATGCTTTTAAGACACAATATGGCCAAGTGTCGTTACTCTGAAGCGTGGCTTATTTAGTGGCACTAAGAGCAATATCTCCGTGTGCCGCTTGTAGATCTGGAGCCAGTGGGGCGCTCGCCGAGCGGCTCCAACCGCTCCGTGGAAAAGTGGCGGAGCGCGTCGAGCGGTCCGGAGTAGTTCTCCGCGCAGCCTTTTTCGGAGGAGTACGATCTGTAGTCGTATCTCGCAACGTTTCAGTTTCATTATCGACATTCCCGCGGGGAGTAAAGGAATTTCGCGGCTTTTTTGTTTCGATTGCTTGTTGGGCTTTCTTGGTGTGGTTGTTTTCGTTCCCTTATGACCGACTCGCCCGAGCATACTGCGGCGATGACATCGTTGCAGTTAATTTCAGGAGGTCTAATAAAACGCAGTGACAGAGACCAAGATACCAGCTTAGCTTCGGCTCGAGTGACGACGAGGCAGCCGTTTTCGGCGAAGAGTTTGCCGAGTCGTTTGGCTGGCCAGCGAAGAGGCCCAAGATACCACGTTATGTCGAAGGCGTTGTGCGCGCCTATTCGGATGAAGAGCTATAGGTATGTCGTTTGTTCGTCTAGTGGTCTCTGTAATGTATTTAGAATAATTAGAATACAACACGCCAAATACCCCGCGAATGGAAGTCGCCTTCGGAGATGACGGTCGCTTTACGGCATACGTGTTTGGTGTTGCTTGATAGCATCCTACGGCTCGTACAACTATTTCTAGTTGTCTTCATCGAGCTTATATAACTGTAAGGAAAAATAAATTGCGTCTTAACGTCGGGGTCACCGTTAATCAAGTAGTAAACAATCAATTTGTTGTCAAAGCATAAAGTTCCGATCAGAACTTCATGCTTTCAGCAAGATAGCTGTGGAAACCGCAACTATTCAAAAGCGAGAGCAGACGCTCTGGAAGCGGTGGCGCTGGGAGCGTTAAGCTCGATTTGCTCCGCAGCGCGTGCCACTGGGATGGATCACGTGACCGATCGCTCACGGAGGCCGACCGCTCGACGACCGCTAGCGCGGAGCGCTCGGCATTTGCCAGGGGAAGGGGCTATAAGATGTCGCCGAAAATAGTTTTTTGAAGGGTCTTTCAGGAGGAGCTTTGCAGAACTGCACCTGAGACTTCTTGATTTCCAACGAAACTCGGAAAGCTTGGTCAAAGCTCCCAATGAAATGAAGAATTAAACATGCCACTAAAACTAATCCTGTTTGTGGGGTCGGTAGGTGTCAAGTTGTACTCACTGTTCTTTGTCTTCTTGCGTCGTATGGGGTTGGGTGGTCCCTGTCTTTTCTGCTTCTGGTATGGAGACCATGAACTTAGGGATTTCCGGATTTTTCTGTTCGGGTGCCCGCCGGACAGTAGACGTGGACGTCGGGGTCGGGGGAGTCGGAAGACGTTCGGCCTGTGGAAGCTGCAGGGCTTTGTTGATGGCGCTCAGGAGCGGATTCGCTGTGCCTGTGCACGTTCCTCTGAAGTCATCGGTTTCGATGGACCAGACCATGATTCCTGTCAGGTTCTTGGACATTGCGAACTCAACCTGATAGAAAATATTGAGACATGGCTTGATATCCACGTTTTATCCCGGCGGAAGTTGGTAGGAAGGTCTGCTGCAATGCGCATTGCCAATCGCCATACTCTGCAGTCAACGCTACGGCCCAGTGGAGCCATAGCGCAGGATCGCAACACATATCCCTTGTCCCTGATTTGTCTAGGCGGTGATAGCAAAAGCACAAAGGCGACAAGCGCCAAAGCACTTTTGGCGCTGTTTAAATGGTTCCACCGTATCGGTATCGTTGACTGCGGTAGGACTAAACGTAGAACGGACTATAACCTTTTCAACACAAAGCCGAGCGGCAGTAATGAGACCACAGAAGGATGAAAAGTACAATTGTAAAATATAACTTTCTTTCAGAAACATAGTTTCTTCAAGTGACACGATAATAACTCTTGGCGAAGCGATTTACCTCGAAGTTAGGACGGGTGCGTATTTGACCGTTTCAGGAACTAGTAACACCTCGCGGGCATTTCTGTCCATGTGACTGTACTGCATTTGATGGTTTGCGATGAGAGGAAAATGCAATGCTCAATTTTTTGGTTTTTCGAGCGTTGTGGCAAACTAAACGTTAACTGCGATTAGAGCTTGCAGTACCGTAGTTGATGGTTATCTCGTAGTTTTAGCTTTGAAGTGAGCGGCACATTTTTAGCACTGAATCGATTAGGGGTGTGAAGTTCAAACTGGAATGTTAAGTAATGATCTACTGCTACGACCTAAAGTTGAGAACCCTTAAGGTTATAAATAGGGTTTCTCAGAAATGGCTACACCTTTCCAGCTCCCTTATTTCGAGCAAGGCACCATTTTCAATTGTGAAATAGGATGCTGTTGCATGAAGTACTCTTCATTTTTGAAGGTTATGAAACGGGTACAGGAAGGGTACTGAGGTTCAGTGTGGGCAAAATGACCAGACGTACGCTTCAAACAGCTTTAGCAGGCGTTGTTTAGAAATTATGTCAAATAATTATTGCCTGCACTAGCGCAGTTTATTTAGAGATACCGTCCTCCAATTTAGATGCGGAGTCTCCAAACTGCTTGGCTAAAGGGCCGGGATCTGGGATCTGTCGCTATTTTGAGGCTCGGAAGATAATTAAGCTAAAATAAATGAGAAAAAGTATAAATAAATATTCCTTGATAAGCATATAGATACCGAAATTGAAAATTAGAGAGAAAAAAGAATAATTTAAGGCGGAATGAATACGTATACTTTTGAAAACTAATACCTAGCTAATTAAGACATTAGCAAATACTGGGGACATAGAAAAGTCACCACGCATAAGTCAAAGTTGGATCTTTGGCATGTTTACACATAGTACAAGACTAAAAAGAATAATATAAGCAATACTGACAATATGCGATAGATATACGGTAAAGGGCACTAAGCTCAACATAGATGGGAACGAAATGGAATTTTATGATATTTAGTTACCCAGATATGAACAAAGGGGACTGAGATTAATGGTTCTGGTGATGGCAGTGTCTAATGAATTATATAATGAGAGGATGGAACGTGCAATGTCCGTTTTTTCTTCTTTATTTTCGTTTGCGTGGTTGGTGCGCGTTACGCCGTGGTTTTCTTGCACGGGCTAATTTTTGCGCTACGGAAGCCGCGGGTTCGCTGGAAGCGGACCGCAAGCTGGACAAAATTAGAAGGACGACGGGCAGCCACGCGCCGATTGGATGACCTCGGCGGGCCGGATTTCGCCCGCGAGCCGGGGTTAGGCGACCTCTGATTCAGATATATAAGATATATCATGCTGTACATGAAATATCGACTAGAACAAGGCAACGCGCTTGTATAACCTTCGTAATTGCTGATGTGGTCACATGCGAATGAGTACCTTTATGTTGTGGAATATACCAAGGGGGGGGGGGGAACAGTCAATAACGTCTTAATTCCGATCTTATGTTAGTTCTTTGCCCTGGTACTTGTTCGTTTTGCGGACGGGGGAACTGCGAGAAGCGCGTGTTGCTTTTACATTTCTAGGATATCCCGAGGACGCTGATAAAATCGCCAGCGTCCTTTTTTTGTAGGGCGTTCAGCAGCACCCAGAGGGTGTTTCTCTAACACTAAAACTCTGGCCATATTGGCAATGCATCTCGGTGTTTTTTGTTTTGGTTTTGAGATGCATGAGCAGTACGACTGCTGCTTAGAGAAGTTTGCGGTACACCCTTATTTTTTGGCACATGGACAAGCTCGTTTAGTCCCTTTGGGGTGTAAAAGAGTTTTGTGTGTATCATCAGGATTTCCGTGTCTTCATAAACTTTTTGGCGTCACTGCTCTGGCTTTCACCTTACTCTTTCCTCTTCCAGAATCTTGCTTAGGTGTTTAGGAGGCTTCTAAAGCAGAGTGTCCCTCGATATTTTATAACTGTTTGCGTACTTTCAGTCTTGTTGACATTTGGGAAATAGTTTTCTGAGTTCCAACATCCCCTGATGTAATGCCGACCGCCGAAATTACGAATGCCCAAAATGTCAATACGACACAGGAGTCCTGCCTGCAGTATTGAATTTGAGAGTTGGCTGGAGTCGTTGTTAGCATCCTGCGCTAAAAAAAGGCTAGTAAGAGCAGCGAATAAAGAAACCACTCGAGGGGGCTTACCTTTTTAGTTAGGCTTTCGGCGTCGTCGAAGCCTATCCATTCTTTGTCCTTGGTAGCCACTGGAGCAATGACGTCAGGATCTCTTGTCACATTCCAATCACCGGACTTCAGCTGAGTACATATCTGTGGAAGCACGCGGTGTGTTAGCTACGCTTTGAATGCCACGCTTACCGCTAGCCGGGTGAACGTGTCTACAATATCATGTTTCTGATGCCTTGCACCTACGACCTAGTCAAGCGTCATTTGGATAAATTGAAGAGATATTTAAGACGCCGCTAAATAGAAGCTGCACAGAATCGGAATGAACGTAAAATGACTGTTTCAGAAACGCGCTCGGGTTCTAGCTTCCGCTACAGCGATGTAGCCGAAGTATTTGAATTGTTCACTCGAGTGAGAAAAGCCTTCGCAATTTTCAGCGATGGCGGTACCGCGGTTTGAGAATAGCGCTCGTTTGTTCTTGGATTGTCAGCTTCAGTATAAAGATGTTTTCTGGCACCTTTTTGCCGCAGAAGAAAGGTGTGACGCTGTAATATTGCTGGTATTTAAGGCGGGGATATTTTGCTGGTCGCTGATTTGTCTCGGAATCGGTGAGACGCGTTAGTGGACATGTCTGAACTAGTAACCCAAATGGCATGTCATAATACTTTTCTTTTTGCAAAGTTGAAGTTTTTGTAGTTTATCTAAGAGGTTGACTGACCCTACTGGCCAATGGGGAAGTCTGGGGGCAGCACAGCTTGTTCCCGACAAGTTACGATAATTTGATGGTGTGAAAATATTGCTAACTAAACTCTCACCAGCAAAAAAAAAAAAAAAAACAATAAAAAAACTTGCACCAGTATTTACAGCGCCAAAAAACGACAGGACAAAGACGAGAGTAAACAGGACGAGGCGCACCTGTTTACTCTCGTCTTTGTCCTGTCGTTTTTTGGCGCTGTAAATACTGATCATGAACCAACTAGCCCAAATTTCTACTTAAAAAACTTGCATTACTTTTCAATAAGACCGCTGTTAGTCTTGAAACTTTGGCATCCGGTTCGTACCGCTAGCACTACATTTGAGCGGAGAATGAGCGTTCGACAACGTGTTATTTATTTTAACGGCAAAAACAAACAAACAAAATAAAGCATAAAAAAACTAATTTCGGTTTTGTGAGCTCTAAGGCCGGCGCGCACTCCGGATGACGTCGGCATGTTGTTTGGCTACCTCGTTGTATCCCACGAAGCCAGGTGCGTTGGTGAAAGTGCCGGGATGACCGGGTCCTACGGTCAGAGCCTCGAAACCCGAGTCTGCGGGGTCAGCCAGCGTGAAGGTTCGGCCGTACAAGGGCAGCCCCAAAACCAGCTTGTTCGTGTCGGCCCCGTGGGACATCCAGAACTCGATGGCGGCCTCCTGCACATGGAAATGTCATTTTGACGAGGGCGGAATCGCATTCGAAAGTCACAGTTTTCGGGTTCTAGCGGTTTTAACCGAAAACGAGGAACGCTAGTTATTAGTCACCGCGTACGACGCTTCCTCAACTCGATCTATGCGTCTGTGCATTCTTCGTGTCGTCGCATCAAAAACAAGGCAAGAAAAACGAAAAAAGCTCATGAAAACGCGGCAATTTTAGGTAAGAGGATTTGATTGATAGTCCGAAATACAACTTGTAATGCACGTTTGCATTCTTGTTAAAGCGAAGTTTTATTTAGGATTGAAAAAAGTGAGTGAACCGAGCCGTCGAAAAGAGTTGGCCGGCAGCGAAACACCCGCGTCGCTAGCCCCACCGATCACACAAGGCAAACGTGAAATGAGATGCTTCGAAAAGACTTTGCCAGTTGTAAAAATTTTTAAAACGACAACCCCCCCCCCCCCCCCCCCTCCATAAAAAAAAAGAAAAAAAAAACACAAAAGGAGGACGTAGCGACACTGACAGGGGGTCGCGTGTTTAGAAGACTGTGGCTCGATTTGGCGTCCGCTTCGTTTTGCATAATCGTAATTCTGCATATGATAATTTCATCGACTAGCGTTCCAGCCGATTCATCGGAATCGGCCGGAACGCTAGGTACATTTTCCCCGCGGAGCAGGTCACGTGACCTCTAAATTCCCTTCGCGGGTAACCGCCGGGAGAGATCCCCGCGTTGGTCAGAAAACCGGCCCTGGAGTCGGAACTGTCATTCGTCCGCGGCGCTTGTCTCATCAGGAGCTATCTTCAGAATTCCACACGTCCGGCATGATTGGTTGTTCTGATAGAGGCGACCTCGTGCAGCCCTATTCGGCAAAGCACAATTCACAACCCTCGAGTAATAAAAGAGCCGATGCTGTACTCTGTTTCACCGTAAGTGCGAGCGAAGCCGACGTTACATGAACGAGTATGCTGAGTTAACCACGGGCGATTATTAAAACACGCTTTCATTTCACGCTCCCCACGCTAGCTCTTGTAAGGTTCTCCTTAGCTGGAAATTGTGGTGAAACGGAGAATAGTAACAAATAATTGCGGATATACGTTCCTATTGTACGCTGCTTTTCCTCCAAATGTACCTGGACCAAGAACAGAATGAAGTATACTTACGATGTTAAATATTTTCTCGAGTTCAGTTGCATTTTTCCTTGCCCTAAGCGGAGAATTGTGTCCGGTGTATCGCTGCCATGCGCCGAAGAAATCGTATCCCATGACCGATATCAGATCGAGATGTCTATAAGAGAACGCCAAGAAGTCAGTTTCTGAATCCGCTTTTTCTTAAATACTGAAAACAAATTCAAATATACTTTTAACACACTAAATACATTTTATCAGCCGAATTTGATGAGGAAGCCGTCACGAAGAACCGTCACGAAGAACAGTGACTCTGGTATCACGTGGGATCACGTCACACCATGATGTCGCGTCACAGCGTGACGTCACCTGACACCCTGACAGCACGCCACGCTGGGACGTCACATAAAACCGTGACGTATCGTTTTACTCTAACATAATTTGTTTTTCAAACTGGTGGTTTTTATTTAGGGATGTAATATTTTTAACCGTCATTGATAGAGGTATCGGGGTGTAAGGGTCGCGTAGTAAGCAAGGGGGGAACAGGCGGGGGTGATATTTGTTTAGTTTTTTTCTTGTCCGATCCTTTAAAGGTGATCCTGGTGATATGCCACACCGCCTTGTGATAGTTAGGGGGAGAAAATTGGCTTAGAAAAGCCAGAGGAATCTTTTGCTTCTTAGACTTGGGCTAGGTGGCGCAAGCTGCCGCCCATTACAAAGGATATGGCCATTAACATGCATCCATCCATCCGTCACGCACCCTAATTTGTGTGTGATAGACCTCAAAATAAAAAGGCTTCCTCACCCTCCTGTTACGAAACAGTAACGCAAGACTCCAGTATCGCTCGTATTTAAGAAAATTAGAATTGCGTAGGCGTCACAGGCGTAGCCTCGTACTGTTGTTCCACATAGATACTCCAGATGACAGCCATTTTATTAGGCCGTGGAAGTGGCGAATACTTTTGACCTCTTTTCCCTGCATGCGCACATGCTTCACTACACGCAGATCTGGTTTTTGCACACGCGCAGGCAAACGCGAAACTTGTTTTCTAAGCAGCTTGCTGGTATATAGCATCTAACCAAGACTTACTTTGACAGTTGAGGAATGTCGTAGGATGCATTGGCGGTTGGAATTCCTGCGGAGACGGCCGCAGTCAGAAGGTAGTTTCTCTCGTCGAACGCAGCCCTCAGTTCCTGGAATAACGATTTTGTTTCTAAGAGCTCTTTTCTGAAGATCCTCGAAGCCTTACATTTTATTCAGACAATTCAGACAATACACCATGTCGTTTAACACCTAAAACTGTGGTGCAGAAAAGGAAAATAAAAACCTTTGGTCGAAGGAACAGACAGACAAGTGAACATTTGACATAATTAGCTATCACGAGCTCGCTTGCGCACTTCCACCGTTTACTTGAACGTATAACAAATAAAAAAAGGGTGCTTCGAATTTTGCCTGATTCTTGTGAACGTAATATTTGTTCACTGGTGTTGCGTGGCCAAGTCACGTGGCGTGGTAAACTTTCCTTTAAATATAGCTGGTAAACTCGCTCGTTAAGTTTGAAAGAAAAACTTCGAAGCGACATTATCAAGAAATCTACACTGCTAAGTTTAGCACGCGAACAAAACCGGTAATTTTAGCGCTTTGTCTGTGATGTTACATCGATATCGATAGTCTCTTTCCGATTAAAAACAACAATCAACGTGTTCTGGGTTAAACTAGATTTTTTGACGTGTTCTGTAATGCGCCAATAGAGGCAAGATACGACGGGGTTAGTGCCACTGCATGCCGATACGTGACTGGTAATCCAGCAAAAAAAAAAAAAAAAAACGCGCAGCGACTCGTCTGTAAAAATAATTTAACTAAACACTGTTGCTTATTGAATGTAATCAATGACGTTACGATTAAAAACAAAGCAAGAAAAAATAACATTAACCGCTCATTCACACTGGAAGCGGATCCCCGTTCGCAAAGCGGTTGCAAACGCGGTTGTATAAAGATCCAGTACAATTGCACGCGCAGTTGGTGACACCGAGTGCGCGTGCAATTGTACTGGATCTTTATACAACCGCGTTCGCAACCGCTTTGCGAACGCGGATCCGCTTCCAGTGCGAATGAGCGGTAAGGCCAACACGCTGGGGTGCCGCTACATTGGTAGCGGTTTACTTTTGGAGTTACCGCGAGGGTAGGTTGGGCCAAAGTTTGCCTTACCAGACAAGATGTTGGCTCTTTTTATTCTGAACGTTTTCGCGAGTGATGTAATGTAACTCTTACACTAAGGAGCTTGATGAAGTTGTCTCTGTCTTCGGGACTGCCTCCTCGTTGAGTCGGATACTCCCAGTCCATGTCGAGTCCGTCGAACCCGTGGAGTTCGACGAAATCGACCACGCTCTTCACAAACTTGGCACGTCCTTCGGAAGTCGACGCCATCTTGGAGTACTTTACGGAACCTTCGTTCCAGCCTCCGATAGCGATGATGGTTTTCAACTTGGGGTTTTGAAGTTTGAGGTTGTTGAATTTTTTGTACATGCCTGTCGGAGTGGACAGCATATAACGCCAATTTCATTTTCTTACGTTGTTTGTATTGACAGACATGTGCTTCTGTTTGAACTCAACTGCAACATTCACGTTTTCGAACAAAGCCTAATGATCTTCACAACTATCGATCTCATGAAACAGAGCCTAATGTAGTTAATTTATCACAAGTTATAGTGACCTTTCTTCAGTTAAACGTATACAAATTGAGATGTATTGAACTTATATGCGCTTAAAGTTATGCTGCATATTCGACATTTCTCAGATTTTTAGTAGCAATTTGAATGCTCCTCATACATCAGTTTCGTGAAACGCATGCTTCAGTTCTTCGGAGACATATGTAGGACAATGTACGCATGTGTCAAATATTTGAGTCAATCAATTCAGGCTATTTACATTTGTCCAGTTAGGCTTGCTTGCATTCAAGTTAGGGGGTTTACTTTTTTAAATAAAGGTACACTATTTCGATAAAATCCACGAGGGAAACTTCTGTGGAACTTTAATACAGTAACAGAGGTTTTGCCCAGAGACATATTTGACTAATATTGGAATTAGCAACGGAATTTCTTTTTTATGAATTCATAATGTTTTTTTCTTTTGTATTGACGTTTCAGCCACCGACTAAAATTGATTCAAATTGAAAACCTTTAACATAACCACCAAAACTGCAAACAGAAAAGAACTTGAAGTTTCTTTTTAATGTAATTTTTAAGTAAGGCACTTGAAGTGTTATAGCCTGCAACACGAAGAAAAAAACAGCAACAAAACAACAACAGCATTGTTTGTACAGTGCGGTTAAAGTTCTTTCGACTGTTTTCTGACATGCTGTCTGGATAATTGTTGTAATTGGACCGTGAGACATCTAGTGATATATATTATTAAAGGTTACAAGGTGAGTCCAAAACAGTATCGGGAGCAAACGCGGTTGTTTTTGCCAGCTGGGAGTCATGTCTGCGTCTTTTATTTCTATTTTCTCTCTTAAAGGCCGACGTACACTTCGCGCTTTCCACTTTTGCCCTCCCCCTTCTTACCTATATCCTCTCCACTTTTAAGCTTGTCCCAACTTTGCTCCCCTCGCAGATTAGGAGAGGGGAGCGCTAACAGGATTATCTTCCCTGCAGAAAACCGAGGTTGTACGTCGGCCTTTAAGCGGGCTTACAGCTTTTAATACATCGTATAAAAGACATCCAACACGCTGCGACGGGCCCTGCGGCACGAACTGCGCATGCGCTAACGCAGAAGACTCGCCCATGCGCAGTTCGTACCGGAGATTCCCTCGTACCGTATCGGATCTGCAGAAACGGTTCCCTGAAACTCCCTAATGTCTGAGGCATGTTCCGTTCGTGTATTGCGGGCGGTTCCTTCACATTGGTCATAAAAACTGTCTGCCAAAATGTTTGAAGCATGCAAATGTACGAAGCAGCAAACTTGCTTCCAGCATGTCTCAGACATGTACGCTGATCATTGTGCCATCATGTCTCCTCCGAACATGGTGCTTTTTGTACGATGTAGGAGCACTGTGCCGTCAAGCCGGGGTCACACTGCTTATACATTACAAAAACGACAGTATAGGGAGTATTCACTGGCGGCCATAGCTGTGTGCGCGAATGCTGAGCGCGTGCTGATGGCGAGCTTCCACAGTTCTTTTGCAACGTGCATTCCGCACCATTAAGAGTGTAGGTCTTAGCCGCCTATTGATGTGAGCTCGTTCTGGGCATGCGCTCTGAACAGCACCCACAAATATGGCGTCTAGTGAATACTCCCTATGCAAACGCGAGTCACTGCAATACTTGTGGTTCGATTACCGCGTGCAAATGAAGTATCTCCTTGAAGTCGTTGCCATATACGGCGATCTAAGCACGGACCTCGTGGTGACTTGTGATCAAATCTGTTTGCAGACTGTCTTTTGTGTGACATATAAGCAGTGTGACCCCGGATTTAGAGTGTAAATTGACGCATGGCGACGACGATATTACTTTGCGCACGCTATTAGACAACTCGCTATCGTACGTTATTAAAGTATGAAATGCTTTTAACGGAATCCCCCATCCCAAATTTTCGACCGTCTGTCCGTCAGCGAATCTTTCGTTAAATTGAACGGGAAAACTGACATGACGTGTCCTGACATCGCTTGACATTTGCACTAAGTCCATTTCTCCGTTAAATCAGCGGAGAAACTGACGGCTCTTCATTCTTCGACGAGACTGCTTAATGTCTTCCGAAAAATATAAACGATATGCCTCCCTAAATACTGCATTGCATGCATTATGGAACCGGACAAATTAAAACGCCGTCAACGTTTTTTGTTTGCTTTTTTTGTGGAAGGGTTTGCGAAGTTTGAGTATGTTGATTTGCCCTGTTGGGATGGCGTTCGGAGAGTCACCTCCGGACCACTGATCCAGTGTGGCCCTCCTCGAGCTAGGTCTTCGCTTACCCAGATGCCACGGCTTGGCCAAGTCGAGGTAGGGGTCGTACTCCTTGATGACGCCGTTTTCTAGCTTGGCGAACGTGTAGACCAGGTGCGTGCACAGCGTGGGGTCTATCTGGTTCACTGAGAAAGCGCCGTTGCCATGGCGGTAGTGGGACCAACTTCCCCAGTAGCAGATGAAGACTTTGTCCTTTCCTTCTGTAAGGCCCGGGACGACCATGTTAGACGACGAGTGTTGAGGTCGATAAACAAGTGGGAATAAGGCAAGGTCACGAGTAGCACTCTGTACTACTTTCGCATAACGTATGATCCACGGTGGTTCTTGTTTCGTGGTCCTGGTTCACAAGATGATCGATAGCCAAGTGTGTGAACGCACATCAGCTTGGAGCGCGTGTAGCGAAAGCTCGCGCTGCAGGTCCCCAATGGATCTTCGGTTCAACGTACCCTTTTAGTAAGTGCACGTCATCTATAGTAACTGCCGCGCCTGTTATCCGCCATTGTTTGGACACTCACGCCGAGCAAATACTGGACACAAAGCTGCGCGTCAGCGCTTGGTGAGGACTAGGAGCCGTTCAGACGCTTTGTGGCCCCCAAAAATGGCAACCACCAATGTTGATTACCATTTTGGGGTTTCTGAAAAAGGGTCAGTTTTCGCCCCAGCTCGTTTCGATCTGAATGACCGTCGTACCGGCGTGCGATCATGTATCGCAGCTGCGTGATGCTCGCGTTCGAGATCGCTGGCAGTCGTACTGCCACGGCTAAATTTCCCCACCTACGACGGAAAGCAGTCGGCAAAAGTGGAACCTAAGCTTGGGGATTCGGCAATTTACCTTTTAGTACTAATGGATCGCAGGTTTAGCTTTCCTAAATGAAGCAGGATGCGCTCCGAATAACTTTGGCGCTTCTACCACTGATCATATCGCACTCGAAAAACTCTGCGGCCAATCTTGGCATTTTACGGATTAAGCTTCTCGAAGCACGAAACTTAAAATATGTATAGACTAAGAAAAGAAACAAAAAAACGTTCAGCCTTTTCACTTTGGTGATGAAGGAAGAGCAGCGGAGCTGTAGCTTCTGTTCTCGGCGGTGGCTTTCAATGCGAGCGATCTGCTCTGCGTTCGCAAGGGAATTTGAAGCGTTCGACGGAACCATTCGCGCTGCTCCGCACGTCGCCGTTGCTCATAGATGATGACACCGAACTCTCGACAGCTACCGCCATCTATCAGTGACGGCGGCAACCAGACAACCGTTTGCCGCCGTCGTTGGCAGATGGCGGTAGCTGTTCAGAGTTCGGTGTCATCATTTCTTTGCTGGTAGATACGATCCTGGGGAATCTATAGCCCTTAACAGTTCCGCTGTAAAAACAAGCAGACAAAAACAGTGTGCGCTTTGGCGTTGGGCATAACCTTTTACCACGCTTAGTCTCGTAGCTCTAACTTGCGTTTTGAGTGATAAACTTGTTTTCAGCTCGTATAGTTGACCGAGTTCCCTGGCTGCGTAGATTTCAGCCGATCTCCCAACCCCTATGCGGGAAAGTGGTCGCACCGGATTTTCGAGAGTGTCTATACTTTGTTTCAGTTTGAGTCCAGCCGCTGCCGTCGCTACGAAGTAGAAAGACCATTCAAGGAGCGTCAAAAGCTCGAGTCTCGCGGTCTTTTCTGTTTCTGATTGGTTGTACAATGATGGAACACGTACAGACGCCATGGCGAGCACCATATGACGGTGCGCTTTTCACATCGTCGGACTGATCCCACCAGCTCGTAGGGTCGGCCATGACTGAACATGAGGTAAAACAAAGTATAGCTCTTTTGTTTTGTGTTTCAGAAAATAGTAATGCCGTTATTTGACATGCCTTCTGACTATCTAAATACAAGTTACAATATCACCGAGTGCTTTTTTTTTAAACTTTTGTACGCGATGGTGTTAAGCGCATAACTTTTGCACTGTGAACGTTAACATATTATTGCAATATCCGCAGATTTAGGGGGATCAGCTGTATCCCATTTTACATTAAGTCCAACAACGGCCAACGCTAGGACGCCGCGGAGCCAATCAAACCGCGACACGAGTGGGTCGTCGCCCCGCTCATCACCTTAGCGAGTCCCCTATCATTGACTCAACGGAGTGTGCTTCTCATTCAAGTGCCCTGTATTTGCGAATAATACTTCTTTTCTCTGCACAAATGAATCCAGCTTTTGTCTTTCTTTTGTTCTTATCCTCAAGTGCTACATGAGTGTTAGAGGACCCTCATCTTCAATAGCGTCTCTTACGCGACACGGGGCAATGACCGATCACAACGTTATCGCCTGGATCGCGATATGTCATAGATGCTCCCGAGTTGTCACGCGTCCGATTCCAGAGAATGAGTTTTGACAGTGCTTCTCAACGTGTACTTCGCCAGTTAACTTCTATAGAGGTAAAGGGACTCTTCGGTATCATATTTCCTGAACTTCTGTGTCCATAAAGCCTCAAGGGTTTATTTGAAGCACCATGCATACGTAGTGTATAGTTAATGTCTAGCTGAGAGGGTAGCAGTAATGTCCTTTTATTCTTTGCACCGCTTTTTCACAAATTGCGCCAGCCAACGTTCATGATAATGCTCATTTTGAGGGAACAGCATAGTGTCGTTTATTTAAAAATTTAACAGGCGAACAAGAAAATATAGATTCAAAAAATCACATCTTGTCATTTCTCCCCTACAATTTACAGACCCCTCCTCGTTCAAACATCGCTTCGTTTTGGTTTTTCGCTGCTGATTGTATAATGCTGCACTGTGACTAGTGGCATGCTTGTCTCCATGTTTTGATTCTTCTGTATGGCCTTGTCTATGCAAATGTATAGTAAATGCTTTTCTTTTTCTTTGTGCTCTTTGTTTTTACGAGCATGATGTAATCGCATGGCGCCCTATCTGGTGAATAAGGCGGGTTTTATAAAACTGAAGACCCAGAAGCCACAAAAAAAAGACTGTTTTACTCAAATGGCGTGTCCAGCGTGTGCATGTACTTTTCTGATGCAGTTCACTATGGGCACTGTTTTCGCGCAAAACGCCTGTAGTAAGGTTTGTCGTCCATGCAGACGTGCAGGACAATTTCTGGTCATTATTTAGGTATCGGCGATATTTCTAATCGTAAAACGTTTATCATTTTGAATTATTTTATTAATTTTCTCGAAGTTTTCAATACTTGTTGACGTTCTAGGGCGCCATGAAGGGCCAGTGCCATCCGCCTCTTTGCGACCATTGGTAAAATTCTTGTGCCACTGATATACTTGAGTACGTGATATGAAATTATTTTTCGGCACCTCTTTCAACATACGGAGGCAATCACTTGACAATTCCTTTTAGTTTCGGAAGACGTTTCAAGTTCAAGTGCAGCTCGGGAACAAACTTTTAGCCACGGCGGACGTCATGAATAAAAGCAAAATTAATAAAATTATGGCAATTCAAACATTAATGACCAAATACACTAAAAGCTATTATTTTCTACTTAGTGAAGATATTCATATTGTTCTGATTAAGAACTTGCTGAGCGCAATCAAAAACCCCTATATCAGTCAATTTTAAGTAAACGTAAAGCACGTGTGAACGTGAAGTTTCCACCCGCGCAGCAGGCAGGTGGCGATGCAAAACACGAATGATGCTCTTATTGAAAATAAAATGGAAGCGACATCAAAGACAAAACTAGAACAAATCACAAACAATCATTCGCGTTTTCGTATCGCAAACCTTCCGCCTGCTGCGCGACTGTGAACTTTAGCACCACCTCAGACTCAGCACCAGCTTAAAGTCTTCCTATATATAACTGATTTAGGGGATTTCGATGACGCTCAGCAAGCTCGTAACAGTAAAGAAATGTTCATTTTCGGTAATTAAAAGGCTAATGAGTAAATTATTGGTAATTAGTTTGATAATTATTCTGCATTTTTGCAACTCCTGACGTTCGCTATGGATGGCAGTTTGTAACCGAAAAGAGCTCATAATTTTTTCGAACACCATGCGCTCGAACAAACGAGGACAATGAAGAAACACGGACGACAGGACGTGTTTCTCTATTGTCCTCGTTTGCTCGAGTTTTTTAACCTTTTATTCAGTAATGGACCAACTAGCCCAAACCCAAGTTTTAATGCAACATATTTGTAGGGATTTAAAAAAAAATTAATCGCAGAAATACTCGTGCCGGCATGGTACAGAAGCAGCGTCTCAGCTGAGACCACGGTGTAAGATACACTTTAGGTGAGGACACGACGGGGCTGAACCAGACATGTACAAATTACTCAAAAAAGGTAGTTAAGTTAAGTTACTGAGTATCGACGCCAAAAGTAATTGGAGTAGAGTAGAAATTACGCATTTGTAATAGTAATTGAGTAAACTACTAACTACTGTAAAAAGTAGCGAGTTACTTTGAAGTTACTTTCGAAGTTACTTTTTTATATTTTTGTGGTAGCAAAATGAACAGCAGTTTTGATCAATGAAAAACCCTGCGAGCTTAAAATAAATGCAGTCTATTCATGGCTTGCGTTTTCGCCAAAATAGTTTACTCGCTCACAGAAGCAAGTGACTTTCAAAGTTCTTGATAGGAGAGTTTTCCCCTTTTCCTTCTAAAGACGTCCCCAGCCCAGCTAATTAGACGTTCCACCGACGGGCTGGATGGAACGGCAGCGTTGAATTTGAGAAACAGGCTGTGCAGGGTCGGGTAAGCGAGTGTCGGCATCTTAGGTGTCCATGACGAAACTTGTGAGGTTTGCCTCGGGTAGAGGGTCTTTAATAACAAACTTTCCTTCTTGTTTTTTCTTCGTCACGTTGAGATTGTTATGACTGGCCCTCTTTATTCCGACGTCGTTCTGAGAGTGCGCTGAGCGAGTGCACCAGACCGTCAAGGGTTCAAGTCTCGCGCCACGACGACGAGATCACCCAGACGACTGCGCGTCCCGTTGTAGTGCTAGTGCTACGCTACTGAAAAAAAAAAATTGATTTGGTTTAATAGAAGATGAACCGAAGTATACTTCGCCGCTGACGCCGGGTCTAACAAAAGGATCTCCCAAGGGTAACTCGCGGTCCTCGCCGGCGACTACAATATTCTGACGCGCCTGAATCGTTTTTAACAAAGAGGAGGTCTCCCAGGCATGGATGGTCGGAAGGACGCGAAGGATTACGTGAACAAGCATCGTCACTCGTATACAGTTGCAGCTGGAAGCGGGAACGTGCTCCCATGAACGGATTATCCGTACAAGGGTTTGTGCGCGGGGGAGTCCGGCTTTGCAAAGGCGTATGCGCTGACGACAAGGCGCCCAGCTGCGAGGTCATTCCAGTGGCGCCTCTCGTGGAACCTACCGCTTGAGTCAGAACTCACTAAAGACCGACAGCACGAAAACAATAACTCTCAGAGTGCCCCCGTCTTTCACGGTTGCAGCTGGAAACGCGGCGCCTGCGTGCATTACCGGATTAGGTCAATACCCGACCAAGGCTTGTTCAGCATCTCTTCCTGCGTTCGTGCGTGCCGGTGTTATATTTTGGCTGCTCGTCGCCACCTTGGCCCAAGGACGCCTTCCCGAACAAGGGGGCCCCTTGTTCGGGAATGCCACTTCATCTGCCGGCGTCTTATTCATTTCTGCGCTCAAACTTTCGTGATGGGCAAAATTAGCACTATATAATTTCGAAAGTAGTTAGTAATTTGAGTAGAAGTTACCTGAAAAAAGTAGTTAAATTAAACTACTAATTACCCAAATCAAGTTGTAATTTTAAGTTACCAAGTTACTCGAAAAAGTAGTTAAACTACAGTAGTTTGAGTAGAGTAGTTGAACTACGTCCAAGTCTGGGCTGAACGCGCGGCGCGAGGAATCAGATAGTGTTCGTTCGACGGGCATCCGAAAGGCTGCATTATTCGGCGGCCACCGTGCCCGCGACTGACAGTGTCGCCGGCGGCCCAACCGTGAAACTGTTTGAGAGCGAAAAAATTATGTCGTTGCCATGACACCCTGGTACACCGTGGTCTTTCTGCACGAGCGACAACCTCACTGGAGCTCTGCGCGTGTGGAGCATGAGGCGGCACGAGCCGTCTTTGCCGTGCCCACGGGTCGATGAGTCATCTGCCGGCGCCGCTTGAAACCATAGTGAGAGAGAGAAAGAGAGAGAGAGTGAAAAGCGAACTTTATCTGCACTGCGCGAGGAGCGCGCTGTCCTCACCTGAAGAGTATTATTTTACACCGTGGCTGAGACTGAGGGCAAGAAAGCACTGCCAAAGCGAGCGCACGAGCTGAGCGGGACTCAAACCGCGTCTCAAGACGTTCGCAGGCCCCAAACCTTCGCAGTGATTTTTTACACCCATTCTCGGCTGAGGCGATATTCTAGCAAGCCGGCCCGGTGTACAAGAATACCTCGTAATTGGGCTAAGCCATTAAATATTGCCATGTCATTCATCTTGAGGGGCGCTTAGCCGAGATCGCTCTCATACCGGTATCTTGCGGTGCTGCCCCGGAGAACGTTGCAGCAGAGAACAAAATGACGGCAGCCGTCTGAAGGACCCGCATGGTCTTGGTTCCTGCACAAAGGGAGGTTGAGATTTATCAAAAGGACTTTCGAAACTGTCCAATTGGCGCTTTTCATTCGAGCTCGACAACACCGTAGTGAATGCACCCTGAGTACTTTAGTATATAGACCATTTCAGTAACCGTCTTCTGCGCGCTATCATCTTTGTTTACTGGATTACTGGACTGAGCATGCCCACTAGCTCTTTCCTGTGGAATGTCTGGCGCCACGCTTGCCTCCACAGCAGACTGGTACGGTGCTCACTACAATTCAATTACTCGTAATCAATTATTTTTCTAGTTATTTTGTTGTCATTTGATGATATTTATTAGGAAGTGACCGCAAGGGTAGTGTGATTATATTTATTTGGAAGTACTAAAATTACTTTTAACCGTTGCTATTTTTCCACCCCTCCCCTTTATAACGGCGCACCGCGTTCGTAGAAGCTTCCTACCAGGAAATCCTCGAAGCACGCCTCTGACGCGAGGAAGGTTTACCAAAATAGGTGGATCAAGAATATAGGTACTTCACAATTCGGTGACTCTAATTCATTTGTGGACACGGGAGAGCCCGTCTTGAAACCGACATTTAACTGTCGTTTTGAAAAATCCGAGGTAATTGGTGAAGTCTCGGTTACCTTTTCAATTATTCCCAATTTCTTTACCGGCTCAAGTACCATAGTGATAAATCTTATACGTATGATCAATATGTTGGTCCAATAAACACATATGATGTCTGCATCAAGATGTCTGCAATTTTATCACTTTGTGTTTTACTTGACTAGGTGTATATGTTTGTATGTACGTACGTGTGTATGTCTGGCGTATTGCATGTATTACGTGTTATTTGTGCTGATACCCTGGTTATAATATTTGCGTTATTATTACTTAATTGAATGAATTAATTCATTTTATGGTGCAATATATCATGCAATGCCCTTAGGGCACATTAAGGGTACACTAAATGAAATGAAGCGAAATTGAATCAGCTATGTACGGACGCATATCGTTTAATGTAGTTAAAGTTTTAAGTACACGATGAATATTTGCAACGTATTTTTCTGTCTCCCTCCTTTGTAAATCGCAGGGTCGGCAGCGCCTCAAATAAACTAAAGTAGAAATATAACGAGTCGCACAGGAAAGCATCGCAATCCCCGCGCCCTTTTCAAAATACCTGCGGAGATGGGCGATGGTGCAAGCCGTGGTGATTGGCAAGGCACCATCCGGACGCGATGATTACATAATGTCAGTTCGGAACGTTTCCTTTGGAACCCGTCCTATCCGGTTTCGATAACCCTTAGCGGTCTACTGAAAAGCTTGTTATCGAGCTGACTCAATGCTGGACAATGTACACTACCGCATGTTTCTTATCGTCAAACTGCGGCGCCAGTAAGCAGCTTCCCGAGCGTTACCCTTCGAACATCACCGATTTGATTAGATAAGGCACGCGCGCATTACGCAGCTAGGTCTACATTGCCCTGCGCGCTTGTGCTTGACTCACGCACACTGTGGCCACCTGACAGTGTAAAGCCGCGACGTCTTCGCCGACGGAACCGTCGCACAAGAAAGAAAAAAACAAACAAAAAACGTCCTAGCAGTGCAGTCTTTATCAGCTAGGCACTGCGTTTTTTAACCTGCCAAGGGATATTGGTCATACAAGTGGCCATGTTCAGCGCCGTGCTAATAATAAATTCGATTGTTTTCTCGAAAAAAAAAAAAATGCTGGGACCATCAATTTTTTTTTTGTTACGATTATTTGCATTTATAGGATTCATGAAACGATTCCGGGTTGGAACGTTTGTGACTTTGCAGAGACGTATTTGTTTTAGTCTGGTCCAAGGATACTTGCACGGACCGCCACTGATTCAGAAACTTCTTTGTCGCGGTGAAATTGCTAGAATGAAAGGGGACAATTTCTCTCGGTCTTGCCTCCGGGAAGCTTGATGACGTAATTGTGGGATCGAAACCACCCGCGCCCGATGACAGCCGAGCGCGGCTCGAGGATCGTAAACAAGAACTTCGTGAGCACTCCACTTCGGCTCGTAACAAACAATGCCTCGGCGGACACTCGGGTAGTGAGTGGCTCGTGTCCAACCACTACGGTGACGAGACTCTAACAATGCCTGGAGCTCAGCACGCGCTTTCTACTTTGTCAACCCCCGCCGCGTGGCTTTGATTAGCGTTGGCAGTGTAGGATAGGCTCCAGGCCACGTGGCCACTTCTTCTGGCTCCGAGTCGAGGGGATGAACGAGGCTTATAGATCTCGAATTTTTATCTGTCGACTGCCGTTGCTTAGAAAGCAAAACTAAGGCAAGTTTATTCGGTTACTAACATCAGGGAGCGATTCTAAACAGTATTTAACGAAAGTAAACAAAAAAAAAATGATGGCCACTTTAACAAAAACACGTTTAAAATTTTAAATATTCCCGCAACCTTAAAGGGGCGGTGTCACGAATTTTTTGTGCTTTGTGTGACTAACGTTTAGAATTAATCCGTGACTTTTATAGCCTATTAAACGCGTTAGGGTTTGTCCTCGTACAATATTAGGAAAAAAAAACACAACAAAACAACAACAACAAACAAGCTAATGACGTCATATAACACCTGAGACTGTGGTGGAAGAAATTGGAAACTGTTTCTTCTACTGAAAAGTTTCCAAATCCTTCCACTAAAATCTCAGGTGTTATATGACATGATTAGCTATCACCAGCTCGCCTGCACGCTCATTGTCTTTTCAACAAAACAAGCAGCTTTTTTTATCTCGAAGCCAGAAACTAGGTCAAGTGATCTGAAGTCGATTAGGATGCAGCCAATGTTTATGCGGGCAGGAAGTGAAGGAGAGGAGAAAACGGAGAGCGCGCGAGGACATCAGAACTCGGAGCTCTGGTTGGAATGATTCTGGGATTTACTCCATTCAGCATCAAGTCAGGGTCACACTGCTCCTGCACATCATACGAAAAAAACAAAACAAAACAGTCTCCAAACACGAGTCACCGCAATACCCGTGGTTCGAATGCCGAGTGCGCCCAAGTTTCCTTCTTGAACGCATTGCCATGCGGCATTCGAAGCACGGATCTCGCCGGGACACGCGTTCGAATCGGTATGCAGACCGTCTTTTGTACGATCACAGCCTTCTATATACTGACAAAGCCTGGCAGGTACCCACGAGACGCGGCCGCCGAAATGAAAAAAAAGGTGGGGTGGAGCGGGACACAGCGGATCAGAGGAGAGCCACGCGACTGGCGCCCCGCTGCGGCGAGACGCCGAAACAAAGCTCTTCCCGAGCGAACAAGTGTGTTTCGGGTCCTCGCCGCTGCAAAAGCTGCGCGCTGACGTCCAGGTGGATTTTGATGCTCTGTGCTACCAGATCCTCGCGCTCCAATTCTGCGACCGGACACTCTGCGGCTTCGTCGTCGAACAGCCAGGCTTTGTGAGTATAGACGAGGCTATGGCACGTCTCCAAGCCAGGAGCGCGGGCTAGCTCGGGCTCGTAGCGCAAAGCTTTGTCTCCACTGCAGTCGTCGAACACGTTTTAAGGCGGAACACAGGCGTCTTAAGGCCCGTTCACACTCTTGCGACTGCTTGCGACCTCTTAAACCTGGGTTCCTTAAAACTTCTTAAACCAGAGAATGCACTGGCGCCATCTATTGGGAAGCAGTGTAAACTCGGCGGTCCGGCATATTTTTTTTTTATTTCTCGCGCAATATCCTTTCTTTTTTGGCTCGAAAAACTTTTGTCAATGTTATAAACGAGCCTTTCTATGGGTATTACGCACATTTGACCTCGGAAATCCCGCAAAACCTTCGCTTTTGTGAAATGCAGTTCTAGGGTCACCGCATAGATGGCGCCACAATGTCAGTGCGTTCCCTCATTCTAGAAACATTTAAGAAGTTGTGAGATCTCGTCTCTCTCAGTCGTACTCGGTCGCAAGAGTGTGAACGGGCCTTTAGTGTTCTCTTTCGCATTCAAACAGGTTCGACGAATGCAGTGGAGGAGAGAGGTAGCTAGCTTTAGGTTTACCCACTAATCTATCCAATCAGAGCTCGACGTTCTTCCTTCCCCGCGCCCTCTCGCCTTCTCCTCTCCTTCACTTTCTGCCCACATTTTAGTCGCGCGCTGGAGTTGTCAAAGCACAGGACGCGCGCCGAGTTCCAGACCTTGTTAAGGCTCTGCTATTGTCTTCATTGCAGCGATTGGACACGGACCACTACCCCAATGCTTATCGAGCTATCGATTATCACGAGCCCAAATCGAGTGCCCACGCGCAATGCGCGGGTACAATCTATGAGTCGCATACAAATATCGTCACTGGGTCGTACTGCGACCGCCCAGCTACGTCATCGAGTTTTGCGAAAGAGAGATGGAAAGGAAACGCTCGCTTTTATTGTTGAAATTACATAGTCGCAATGAGGTTTCTTGGTCAATGGCGTTGCGTGCGGGTGTTCTTGTGTCCCACTAGCGCATGTAAGCTCATGTGAAAGTGAAAAAAAAAAAAAAAAAAAAAAACATTCCGAGTGAATATTGGGTCGCCGCTCTTTTAGGTACGTCTCTAATAAATAAAATTTGAAAATCAAATACCAGTTGGTTGTAACAAAATCAGGGGAAGTCGAAAGAAACTTCGAATCGGAGCTGCTTCTGTATAAGAAATGTCAAGAATCACGGGAGGACATTCGTTTTTGCAGTTTCATACTACGTCAACTTGCACTCGACCATGCGCGAGGCTGTTTTTTTTCTTTTTTTTTTTCTTTTTTACCGTGAAACGTGTGTAGGCTTGGTTTTCGGGCAAAGTGAAGCCTCAAAAATCGTAACAGCAAATTTCCCCGCTTAATTTAACCGGGAAAATGACGTAACATGGCTTCATGTCACGTGACCTATACAGAAAATCAGTTTTATAACGAATTAAAACGAAAAAATTGACGTCACGAAATCAATCTTCCCGTTCAAACTTAGCAAAAAATTCACGTCACGTTACATAGTCACGTGACGGGCAATTCGCGATGCATTTTTTTTTCATAAGTACATTGCTTGTACACGATGGAAAATAGCACTTAAAGGCACTGGACAAAGGATCGAACACAGGACACACACGCGCTGCGTTCGTTCCTTCCTTCTCTCCCTTTGAGCGCTGTTTTTATCACGTACAACGATTCCCAACTATACTTCGTTTTGACCTTTAGTCCGGACGCCGCCGACGCAACGTGCTGACGGTACCGATCAAACGGCGTTAAAAGTGCAGCAGTATGGTGTTGGTCGTGTTTTCTGTAGGTGATCTATTACCGCTGAACCAATCATGTACAGGGAAGGCCCAGTGATTTGCACTCTTGGCGTAGTTTCATTGGTACCATCAACTTGTGCAGTCAGCTGCGTCTGAAATTTGAGCTGAAACCAAGTATCGCCCAACTTGCTGAGCGTCCTTTATCTTGTCTTTGCCTTTTATCAGTACCGGGACGTTTTCCAGGCAGTCGGTCAACGATCATGTTCTCCGGAGATTAGATAATCCCATTCCCTGGTCCTATTTTCTGGGAAGTAGGCGCCGATAAACGTCCGCAGTTTGTCCCGCACCGACATTCGTCACCTATACTTCGTCACCTATACTCGCACGCAACGCCACTGACCAAGAAACTCCTTTGTCGCGCTGTAATTTCGAGGTCAAAACCGAGATTTTTCATTCAATCTATCCTGCGCAAAACCTGATGACGTAACTGGGCGGTAGCAGTACCGCCCAGTGAAGATATTCGAATGCGGCTCATAGCATGGACCCGAGCATGGCATGGACACTCGATTTGGGCTCGTGATAATCGATAGCTCGAGAAGCATTCGGGTAGTGACCCGTGTCCAATCGCTGCAATGACGGCAACAGCCGAACCATACCAATGTCTGGAACTCTGCGCGTGTCCTGTGCCTTGCCAACCCCAGCGCGTGGCTATGATCAACATTGGCGGCATATAATCGGCTCCAGATCACGTGGCTGCTTGTTCTGGATACGAGTTGAGGGGGTGAACTCTGCTCGTTTTTATTTATTTTTTTCTGCGACTTTGATTGCGTGGGGTGAAAAACGAACGGGTATTTCATAGGTCATTAACGTCAAGGATCCGTTCTAAGCGGTATTTGCGCAAAATACAAAAATCGTTCCATCGCCCCTTTAAGTCTACTTGTAGTCGACGGTGCGAGTTAATGAGACTAATCCTGCAGCGTCAAAATCGCGTCACTGGGCTTTTTTGCTCATAACTAACTCAGCGAGATTAAAATACGTACAAAAACATTTGTGTGTGTGTGTGTAGGCGATGTAGGGGGAAAAGGAAATGACCATCTCCTCTATTTACTTTTGAAACTGCGTAGCCCACACGCACACACGCACGTTTCTGTGCGTGTTCTATCATCGCTGAACCAATTAAAAACAAAAAAGCAGGTCCAGTGACTTGCGCTTTTGATTCTGCTTGATTGACGCCTACGTAATCTGCAATAAAAATACTCCCCCCGCAAAAAAAAAAAAGAAAAACATGTTTTATTTAGAAAAATACCATCTACCCCTATTTATTAGTCGGCGACTGGTATCATGTAAACAGCAAGTCATAATATATACAGCGACAAACTGCGAAAGAGAAGGAAATGAGAGCGAGCGGGCACGTCAAAGCGTCCAGCTCTGATTGCAATAATTGATCTTTTTTCAGACATATGGGCTCGAGAGTAAGTGTATTTCAAGTAGTTTGTATTCGGAAGTAAATCGGTGCTTGGCCTCAAAAGTTTACCAACCTGTTTAGGTTATCCATGGCTTTCTTCAAACGTGAAGCCGAGAACGATGTTCGAAACGCATCGAACAAAGCGAACCTTCATCCGCACTTTGATGACCTTCCAAAATATGATATTGAGTTGTTTTATAATAGCTTGTCACCCGTAGAAGAGGCTTGGAGATTTTCAATATTCTTTTAGCTCGTGAAGTTCAGTACTAAAGGAATAAACCTCAAGTATAGCTTCGGCCAAACGCGCAAATCGAGATTACGCAATGACCAGAAGAAGGCTTTTACCGTACAGAAAGTGCTTTATACTTTTACATGTAACCCTCATTCTATTCCACAATGCCAGAAATCTAAGTTATTTGGTGTGCTGAACGATGAAGACGACCTCCTTTCATCCGCTTTCTGCCTGACCACAGCGCCCTCTACGGTTCCCTGGAGTCGCCAGTAATCTGTGAAAGGTTAAAAGTTCAGGAGAAGCTCTTACCCCTTTCAACTTTAGCAGAGCGGGCGCCTTGCCAAAGAAGAAAAAGGTGGAAGGAGCTTTTCCTGGTCTCTTAACCTGCCACCAACCATAGGTGACACCACTTGTTTAAAAGAAAAAAAAAAAGGTGAATTTGCGAGTAAACGCAAAGTTTCGTTTCTTTTCTCCCTTTCTATTGACTGCCAATCAGAACAAACAAGAGCGTCGTCTGCTACTCTCGCAGTGTCTTGCGTTCAAACGCTTTCAAAGACTGGGTGGAGACAAGGGCAGGAGGCCTTTGCGCCTTTCCACTGTCCTTCCACTTAGAGCTCGGCGCTGAGTAGGCCCCGCTGGCTCTCGACTCTTTCTCTCCTTTAGCTGTTCATCGTAAAGAGTTGATTTTTAATACGTTTTACGTATCAAAACACGTAAATTACCGCGCAAAAATGTACGCATTACAAATAGAGCAATTTCTATCGTCTATGTGGAGGATCAGTACTGATGAACCTGTCGCTTGTGCATTCGTATAGATATTCCTAGTATGTTCATTTTATCATTAAGAGAGATCACCCAATACATTATGTAGAGGAAACTTGATAGTCAAACATATTTCAAGCATAAACCCTATATTTGTTTTTATCACCGCTTGGTGAGAAAGGGCAAACCGAAATCCGATGTTTGCTAGAAAACCTAATCTTGTTTATTTTTGTCTTCGTGGAGTGCGAATATTCTAAAATCAGGCTTTAGCGAACGCGGAGCTGATAATGCTTCTTAACTGAATAACGCAGAAATAGTAGATATAAACTTGCTTTTTATCTTCTTATTTCCGTTATAACGAAACCGAGATGGAAATAAATTTGATGGTATTTGACTGCTGTAAACACTAGAACAATATAATGGATTAAATTAAGTCGCGTACACTAGACCGTAAAACATCTGCGTTATTGCCAGTGCTTGTTTTACTTAACTTAATTTGTAAAATAAAGCAGATATAACTGGCTGCCATGAATGAATGAAGGCTACCATGTTCACGCTTATTATTTGCTTGATGTTTTTGGCGATAATCTGCTCTGGTTCCTGAAAGATTTCAATCTTTACGGCCACGTAAAGAAAACCAAAAGATAGTTTACTCGAACTGACTGTCACAAAGGCTGGACTCACCTGGTTTCCGTATCAGCAGTGACCCACTAGCTCCAGTTTTGACGCAACAAAGTTCGTTAATGGTTCGCTGCCTTTTACGACAATAGCATATATATCGCTGAGGTTCCCCTACCTTCCCGTCGATAAGAGCGCCATATCAGTTCAATTAATCCTTCGAGAGATAGCACGCGTATTGTGTCATCCGTGATAAGTGTATTGTGTTTTATTTCTGCGAATTAAGGTTTTTGCTTCGTATTGCCCCTGTCCCTGCAATTGACGATATGCAAAGTGCGCGGCACCATCTAGCCTGGCGCCCAAGAACATGGTCCGTCTCACCAGTTGGCTTCGGCGCTGGCAAAGGCCATAGGACGCAAAAGTGTAGTTCTAAAAAAAAAAAATTGGGTTGTGTGTGTGTTTATACAGCCTAGAACTTGGTCTGCCTCACGGGGGCGACGAGTCTCCCAGCTGTAGATGAGAAATTTAGCCAGTGCGGTACAGCCGCTAGCCTGGGGTCTTTAACGTGCATCACGCAGTAGTGATACACGACCGCACGCCGGTACGATGCTCATCCAGATCGAAACGGGCAGGGGTGGGGCTCGAACCCAGGATCCCTGGGTTCTGCAGCGCGAGCTTTCGCTCCACGTGCTCCGAGCTGGTGTGCGCTAGACCACTCGGCCACCGATCCCCTGTAGTTCTAAAGAATCCTTGGATATCGTCTGGAAAAGACGAAGAAGACTGGTTCGAATCGTTTCCTGGCATTCCTGCGGCCTTGTCCGCATTGTACTGGAATGTAATTGGTTTCATCTCTTCTCTTCTTTGATTTCACCAGCGGTTCGAGAGCTCTACTCGCATCCGTGAGCAACTTTTTGCTCAATTTCGAGCCCTTTTTCACTTTTTATGAGCCTTTCGTTGAACCCTCCGCGCTAAGCCTACTGGCCCAGCGCGGCAAGGAATAGGGCACGGTGACGGTTGCGCCGCCGGCCCATCGGACCCACGACTCAGTTTTAACTCCCGGACATGACGACGCCTCTAGTTGCGCCACCGCGGCTGCAGTTGCTGCAGGCTACTCAGGATCATGCCGCTGTCACTTCGTACGAAACCTCTCCCCCTCCCTCGCAAGAGATGGACGAGGACGCGGAGGACTTCGGCCCGTCCAGTAATGCAAAGCGTTTTCGTTCGTCCGACGATGGTCTTAAAGACGCAGACACGAGTCTCCAGGCTTCATGGGCTTCGCGAGAGCCGGACGCCACTGACTTGGAGGGACTTTGGGAAAAGGCTACAACGAGAACCCAGCGCCGAGCGCAACTCAAGGCATCGGGCCAACCCCTACCCACCACAAGCCGCAAGGAACGTGTAACTCTCGGCACCCATGTAATCAAGATACAGCCCACAGAAAGATGCGACGTATTGGGCTTAGACCCAGAAGAGCTGAAGACCGTTATCAGCTCCTTCGTCGGTGACCCCAAGTTGCTCAAACATCAGATACTGAGGGTGAGCAAACTCTCTAATACCATCGTCGTTACTACGTGCGACTCCACGCAGGCCACGCATCTCCTCCGTATGGGTGTGTTACCTTTGCGATCGAGACCACCACTCCCGGTGCGTACGCACCAAGTTGCCACGGACGGTATCTCCCGGGGAGTAATCCATGGCTGCAAACCCAACGAACCCACGGCTAAGCTTCTGGAGGCGCTGTACGCCGACGGAGTGGATGTCCTGACGGCCCGGCCTATGGGCTCCAAAGGTACAGTCCTCATCCACTTTGCATCTCCGCATCCGCCACGCGAAGTTATGTATTGGAGCTTCCCGAGAAGGGTGGAATGCTACGAACAGCGATCTCTCGTGTGCCCGCGCTGTCACCGCCCGGGACATAAAGCCACCAGCTGCCCGATTAACCAGCCGGTCTGCAGCAACTGCGGAAAACAACACGAGCAAACCCCGGAAGCCTGCCCGAATGGCGAGGCCAAGTACTGCGGTCATTGTAAACAGGATGGACACGTGGCTACTGATCCCTCTTGTCCCGCTCGAGCTCAATTCGCTCAGCGCGCGAAACAAAGGGAAGGAGCCAAACAAGAAAGACTGGCACGGAGCCGCTCGCGCAAGCGCAGGCAGCGATCCAAGCAACCCTCTGGCACCACTAATTCACGTCCCGGTTCCAAGAGTACTATCTCCCAGCTGCGCGGGTCGAGCAAGGTTCAGATCCAGGATCCGCTCCACTCCTACGCCGATATAACTGCGAGAGGTCTCAAGGGCGGTCGCAGCCCAAATGCACGCCAGATGCTTGAGACACTCCAGGTCGAGCAAGACCGCGATCAAGCCGATTTCGATAGCACTATGAAACGTCTGGAACAACAACTGAAAGAAATTCAGCGTACAATGGAACAAGTCAAGTGCAAACACAATCAACGGCAGAAATCACGAGCAGATCGGCTCCGGGCGCTGCACTTTGAAGTTGAGGAAGAAGAGAGATTGGAAACCGAGCTCCTTGGGAAAAGCAAGCGACGCCAGTCCCTTTCACCTGGGCGGTGTCGCACACCATCTGGAAATACTTCATCCACACGACAGCAGGCAAGAAAGCAATCCCACGTACCTGCACCCCAGCACCAGGCAGCAACCCAGAACTCTAACGAGCCGCCGGTATGGATACAACAACTCATACAGCAGCCACAGCAGCAAGCAGAGCAAATGAAACAAATGCAGCAGATGCAGCAGCAAATACAAATGCAACAACAACAACAAACGCAGCAGTTCCTCCAACAGGTGACTCAAATGGTCGCACAACAGGTCGCTCAGATGTTCTCCCCCATACTTAGCCAACATGGACCCAGCCTGCACCAGCCGCAACCAACCTCCACTGAACAGCAGCTCGGCGCACCCACCGCCTGAGCGTCCTCCCGACCTCCTGCAGTGGAACTGCCGCTCACTACGTCAGAGCGCTGCCGAACTCGTCGAGCTCTTCCGCTTAACCGGAAGGCCGGCAGCGCTTCTGCTGCAGGAGACACGGGGGATGAGTCCGGGCATCTCGGGCTTCGACGGATACTTCCAACCAACGATTGAACACGGACTAAGAGGCGGATCAAGTGACACATCTCAGACCATTGAAGCACAAGCTGCGGTGTTTGTGCGCAAGGGCCTCCCACAGGCACAAATAGATACGACGGCCTATACTGCAACCCGTTCCAGGAGGTGGTGGCGGTTCGCTGCACGCTTGGACGTCACCGGGTCATCCTAACCTCCTGCTACGAGAGACCTGAGTCAAGCTGTTCCAAGCGCGGCCACGCTGGACAAGCCGGCTTCTAATGGCTGATGGACCTCCGGCAGCGCTACCCCCGTGACCGCCTGCTCGTGGCGGGCGATTTTAACGCGCACCACCCGGACTGGGGGTACTCGAGTTCTAACGCCAGGGGCGCGCGGCTAAAGGAGGCAGCGGAGTTGGCGCACCTCACTCTGGCCAACGACCTCGACTACCCAACGCGCCACGGACTGCACGAGGGACAGCGAGACACCACCCCGGACCTGACCTGGGCAGACTCCCGACTGGTGACCGACTGGCGGTGCGGACCGGACCCTATGGGGTCCGACCACTATCCCATCTGGCTGGAGCTCTCAACCGGCGGCAAAGCAGGGCGCAGACGTTTAACTCAGGCTATCGACTGGGACGCCTTCCGAAAGGCGGTGGCCACGTGCGAAGACGCGGTTCCCGTAACCGCAAAATTACTGAGGGCAGCGCAAGCGGCCACGCGAAACCTGGAGGTGGAAGACCAAGACCCGGTTCCCGACAAACATCTAATCAACCTGTGGGAAGCACGCAAGCGGCTCCACAAGATATATCTTAACAACGGCAAACGATTCAAGGACCTAGTGCGTTTGCGCAACAAGACGGCACAGGCACGTAGATATGCCAAACGCCTGGCTCGCTCGAGGTGGCTTGACCACTGCGCGACGTTTGACGAACGAACTGGCACCCGCAAGCTATGGCGCGCCCACAGAGCCTTGACCGGCAAGACCAAGGCGCCCAACACTGCTCGCAACATCCAGCTAGCCACCGACCAAACTCCGGAGCAGTTTGAGTAGGCGGCCGCCAAGGCCTTTTTCCCACAACCTGCTAACGATCCGGACCTGTGCCTGTACGAACTGCAACCTCCGAGCGACACAGAACAAGACGCCCCGTTCACGATTCAAGAATTGACACTGGCCTTGGACTCTGTCAACGAGCGCAGCGCCCCTGGCAAGGATGGAATCACGTGGCGCATGCTGCGCAACCTGGACGAGCCGGAGAAACGAAAGCTCCTGAAAGAACTTAACGACGTCTGGGCGTCAGGAGTACTACCGGCCGACTGGAAACATTCAGTGGTGTACCCTATTCCGAAACCAGGAAAGAGTCCGGATCAAATACAGAACCTCCGACCAATCTCACTTACGTCTACGCTATTCAAGCTACTCGAACGGATGATCCTTACGCGACTCACTTATGTCTTGGAAGAAGCCAGGGACGACCCTTACTACGACGCTGCGCAGACTGGTTTTCGCCCCGGACTGTGCACCCACGACAGCCTACACCTCCTCCGAAACTTTGCGGGTAAGAGGCGCCGAGGAACCAACAAGGTACCCGGACTCCTGGTGGCAGTGGATCTCCGGAAAGCTTTTGACACCGTCGAGCATTCGGCAGTGATCGAGGAACTCGAAGAGAGTGGCGCAGGCACCCGCATAATCAATTTCGTGAAAAGCTTCCTCAAGAATCGTACCTTTGAGATCAGCTCGGGCGCCCAGCAACCCCGCATGTTCCAGAATTTCCGTGGAGTACCTCAAGGAGCCATCCTTTCGCCGACCCTTTTCAACTTGGTCATGAGAAAAATAGCAAGAGTGTTGCGCGCCGTCCCACACCTTCAGCACACAACTTATGCGGACGACATCACCCTTTGGGTGGACCCTCGAAACACAAAGCTCGACACTAAAGAAACGGTCGAAACCATGCAGACGGCCCTAGATGCCATTGACCAATGCCTGCAAACTACGGGCATGCAACCTTCCCCAGAGAAGACAGCCTTCCTCATCGTCGGCGGTCTTGAGCACAACAGAGCTCAAATACACCTGACCCTGGCCGGCCAGTCCATT